TGTATTCCGGGGTTCTGATAGCCACCGGTAGCTCAGAGAGCCGGTTGCACCTGTCGCCCGTGGGTCCGTTGCTCCTGTCGCTGCTGATCAGACGCAGAGCCTGTTACTCCTGTATTCCGGGGCCCTTGCTCCCGGTAGCCACTAGAGCTGCACCAGAGCCGTCTGTTGCCCGTGTGTCTGCAGCTTCAGTCGTCGCCTCCACTCCTCTCTCCCCTCGCCAGCCCTCCTCCTCCTCACTTGCCCTCTGTGACTACCTCTAGCTTTGCTCATAATTGTGAACTTTAAACTATTGCTTCTTGAACTTGTGCTCAGAATGTGTGGTGACATTGTGATCCACCCTGAGCTTGTACTGCTTTGCTTGCTCTGCTGATTACACCCCACTTTGGCTATGGGGGTGTGTCAGAATATTATGTTCTAGCCTGTAGTGGGGTGCTCTATAGCGAGTACAACCCTTCTAGGGTTTGCTATTTGTATCCCCATTCTTGCTAGTGCAAACCCTCCTTTGCTCGTTTCTCTCTTGCCTAGCTAGGGTTTACCTAGCTATGGCTCCTACTTGTGCCTACTATTTTGACACTTGTCTGGTCCTATTACCAAGCCAGCAAGGGCGTGGGAGAGTTGCGAGCATCATCGGTCATCGGCGCTCGTGAATGAAGAGCGCCCGCTGCACTTCTTGCACATGTGCGGATCCTTCCGCGTTTTGGGGCTGGGAGCGCTCGTTTCGAGCATTTTTCTTCCGGCGGCTCACGTGGCTGTGCTTGTCTGGTCCTATTGCCAAGCCAGCAAGGGCGTGGGAGGGTTGCGAGCATCACCGGTCATCGGCACTCGCGAAAAAAAGAGCACCCGCTGCACTTCCTGCACATGTGCGGATCTTTCCGCGTTTTGGGGGTGGGAGCGCTCGTTTCGAGCGTTTTTCTTCCGCCGGCTCACGTGGCTGCGCTTGTCTGGTCCTATTGCCAAGCCAGCAAAGGCGTGGGAGGGTTGCGAGCATCATCGGTCATCGGCGCTCGTGAATGAAGAGCGCCCGCTGCACTTCCTGCACATGTGCGGATCCTTCCGCGTTTTGGTGGTGGGAGCGCTCGTTTCGAGCATTTTTCTTCTGCCGACTCACTTGGCTGTGCTTGTCTGGTCCTATTGCCAAGCCAGCAAGGAGGTGGGAGAGTTGCGAGCATCATCGGTCATCGGCGCTCGAGAAGAAAGAGCGCCTGCTGCACTTCCTGCACATGTGCGGATCCTTCCGCGTTTTGGGACTGGGAGCGCTCGTTTCAAGCGTTTCTCTTCCGCCCAGTCTCGTGGCTGCACTTGTCTCGTCCTATTGCTAAGCCAGCAAGGGCGTGGGAGGGTTGTGAGCATCATCGGTCATCGGTGCTCGCGAATGAAGAGCGCCCGCTGCACTTCCTGCACATGTGCGGATCCTTCCGCGTTTTGGGGCTAGGAGCATTCGTTTCGAGCGTTTTTCTTCCGCCGGCTCACGTGGCTGCGCCCAGTCCTATTGCCAAGCCAGCAAGGACGTGGGAGGGTTGCGAGCATCATCGGTCATCGGCGATCGCGAATGAAGAGCGCCCGCTGCACTTCCTGCACATGTGCTGATCCTTCCGCGTTTTGGGGGTGGGAGCGCTCGTTTCGAGCGTTTTTCTTCTGCCGGGTCACGTGGCTACGCTTGTCTGGTCCTATTACTAAGACAAAAAGGGCATGGGAGGGTTGCGAGCATCATCAGTCATCGGCACTCGCGAATGAAGAGCGCCCGCTGCACTTCCTGCACGTGTGCGGATCCTTTCGCGTTTTGCGTGGTGGGAGCGCTAGTTTCGAGCGTTTTTCTTCTGCCGGCTGATGTGGCTGCGCTTGTCTGGTCCTATTTCCAAGCCAGCAAGGGCGTGGGAGGGTTGCAAGCATCATCGGTCATCGGCGCTTGCGAATGAAGAGCGCCCGCTGCACTTCCTGCACATGTGCAGATCCTTCCGCATTTTGGGGCTGGGAGCATTCGTTTCGAGCGTTTTTCCGCCGCCGGCTCACATGGCTGCACCTAGTCCTATTGCCAAGCCAGCAAGGGCGTGGGAGGGTTGCGAGCATCATCGGTCATCGGCACTCGCCAACCCACTGGCAACCCACTGGTCAACCCACTGGTCCTGGAGGTCAGCACCACTCACCAAGTTCGTAGAGAACGAGGGGAGGTGAAGACCTGACAGGGAGCCAGACGGGACCGCCGGACACGGCAGGACCGTGGAGGAGTGCGCAAGGACTGGACCCCCAGAGGGGTCTGCCAGGGAGACTGCAACCGGCCGACTGAGCGGCGTGAGGGTGGTGCTGTCGCGAAAGAAGGAGCGGGAAGCACCTGAGTCAAGCGTGAAGGTGTACAAGGCCTCAGCAGGCGCAGTACCAGAGAGAGCAGACTCACCAGCACCTGGAGCAGCAGCCTCACCAGCACCTAGAGCAGGAGACGCACTAGCACCTAGAGCAACAGCCTCACCAGCACCTAGAGCAGCAGGCTCTATACCTGGGTCAGGCGGTACGCACAGGTAACAGGCACCGTCAGCACTAGTAGGCAACGCATACATGGCAGTGAGAATAGCATCATAGTCAAGAGCAAAGATATCTACCCTCTGCCTAAGCAGCTCCAGCCAGGTGGGGAGCTCAGCCTCGTCGCCAAACTCGGTACGCCAGGCGTCGCTCAGGCGGGCGAAGCAGCGGGACTGTGTGTGACCAAGCGTCCCGCAAGCCTGACCAGTCCGAGCACCTGTGCGAATGACGTACGGGCAGCGAACGGTACTCCGAGACCCTCTACTCTGAGCGTACCACTCATGAAGCTGCTGGGACGTAAGTGTCTCGCGCGGACGCCGCTGCAGCTGCAGCTGGCCACTGCCAGACGCTCCCGACTGACCAGCTCCAGGGCGACAGCCACGACGGCTACCGCCACAACCCCAACTAGCGTACCACTCACTAAGCTGCTGGGGCGTGAGAGACTCGCGCGGATGTCGCTGGAGCTGCATCTGGCCACCGCCAGTAGCAGCAGTAGCAGCAGCAGCAGCCTAGCAGCGGTAACAGAAGTAGCAGCAGTAGCAGCAGTAGCAGCGCGAGCAGGCAGGCAGGCAGGCAGGCAGACAGGCAGGCAGGCAGACAGGCAGGCAGGCAGGCAGATGGCGCGGCAGCGCGCTAACAAGGCAGGCGCGCGGGAAGCGCGGTAGGGCAGGTGCTCTCTAGTGGCGGGAAGGGCAGGCGCTCGCCGAGCGAGCAGGGCCGGCGCTCGGCTGGCAGCGGCAGGGTAGGCGCACGACGGCGGCGACGGCGGGGCCGCAAAAGCGGCTGCAGAGTAGGGCCGCGTCAGCTGCAGGGCTGGGGCCACGACAGCGGCAGGGCAGGGCCACGGCAGCTGCTGCAGGGCGGGGCCGTGTCGGCGGCAGGGCGGGGCCAGGCGGGGCCGCGTCGTCTGCAGGGCAGGGCCGCGTCAGCGGCAGGGCGGGGCCGCGACAACGACCTGGCGGGGCCGCGTCGGCGGCGTGGCGGGGCCGCGTCGGCTGCTGCAGGGCGGGGCCGCGACAGCGGTAGGGCGGGGGCCGCATGCAGTCCCTGGGGCGGCGCGACGGGCAGGCAGGGGCAGCGCGTGGGCTCTCGGGCGGCGCGACGGGCAGGTAGGAGGGGCGTGCGGGCTCTGGGGCGGCGCACGGCAAGGGCAGGGGCCGCGCGCAGGCTCTGGGGCGGCGCAACGGGAAGGCAGGGGCAGCGCGCAGGCTCAATGGCGGCGCGACGGGCAGGCAGGAGGGGCGCGCGGGCTCTGGGGCGGCACACGGCAGGGGCAGGGGCCGCGCGCAGGCTCTGGGGCGGCGCGACGGGCAGGCAGGGGCGGTGCGCAGGCTCTAGGGCGGCACGACGGGCAGGCAGGAGGGGCGCGCGGGCTCTGGGGCGGCGCACGGCAGGGGCAGGGGCCGCGCACGGGCTCTAGGGCCGCTCACGGCAAGGCAAGGCAGGGCAGGGCGCGCGCGGGCAGCGCGACGCAGAACAGGGCGTGGGGCAGCACGGTAACCGCAGACGGTCACTAGCGAAGGGTGGGCCCGAAAAAAAAACGGTCCTACGGACCTACTGCTCTGAAACCATGTTAGAATCTAGAAGCAGGAATGAATGCATTGAATGAGAGTTGGGTACAAGTATCAAACCCTAAAGGGGTTGTACCCTATATTGGCTACCCCACTACAGCCTACACAAATATAGCATGCATATAGTTTGACATGCGTTTCTTGCACCCTCTTCAGCGTTGCTCTCACCCTCTTCAGCGTTGCTCTCACCCTCTTTTGCGTTGCTCGCACCCTCAGTTGAGTTGTCCCACCTACAGCTGCATTTCTTCCACCCTCAGCTGTGTTGCTCCAACCCCCAGTTGCGGTGCTCGTACCCTCACCTGTGGCTCTCACACCATCAGCTGGAATGCTCGCACCTTCAGCTGCGTTGCTCCCTCCCTCAGCTGCGTTGCTCGCACCCTCAGCTGCGTTTCTCTCACCCTCAGAACGGTGGTGGTGAGAAGCGTGGAAGAGGCTCCGAAAGAAGAACCTCCTCGTTGTGGTCCCTGCATACGCGTCATCTGGTCGTGTGTGCAGGGAAGGTGGTCGGAATGGCTTCGTTCGAGCCGCCTTGGCCGGCCGCTTGATGCGCTGGCAAGAAGTCTTGCAAACGCAGCCTCTCTTGCGCAACCTTGATTGGTTAGAATTGACTTGATTACCAGCATTGCTGTACCAGCTTGACTGTGTGGTGCTGCACTGAGCCAGGATTGCAAAAATCACGCAATAGACAGTTTCAATGTGCACACCGAATACAAGGCTGAGTGATCAGCATACGAAGCAATAAAGCTGGAAAAACAGCCGAGGTACATATTCTTGTAAGTTTACATGAAGGTTATATATTTGAATGTTCTAGTGAACCCAACCACCTTATGGTGCGTAACGGGTCCGTTAGACACAAGCAAAGACGCAAGCTTTGCCGCAATATAGCTGTCTGTCACCTATCACAATTGAAATCAATTAGGACATCTGTAGCGAAAGGAGGGGAATGGTGGCTGTGCGAGAGAGGCTCCTGACCAGCACACCCCATGACGCCTCAGCTGCTGTAAAGAGAGCGGGGACTTGCGGGGGAAGGTGGGGGAGCAAGGGTCCCACCACCCTGATACATTCACGCAGGAGTGTGACTGTAGCGGGGTGGAGGGCGGGGAGGGCGATGGCACATCGGACGGCGGAGGGGAGGGTGGAGGAGAGGAAGTCGGTGGCAGCGGCCGTGTGAGTGAGCGTGTGGGCGAGCAGATGAAGCACCTGGTGTGGATTGGGGGGCAGAGGGGAGGGGAACGTGGGGGGCACAGACAAGGAGAGGAAGTCGGTGGCAGCGGCCGTGTGAGTGAGCGTGTGGGCGAGCAAATGAAGCACCTGGTTTCAGTCGAGTGGGGGGGAGAAGCGGGAAGGCTTGGGGCACATACTGGGATGGTGTGCAGTTTCGGTGCATGGGGAGGTGGTTGGAGGCACAGTGGATAGCTGAGGACTGCTGCGAAATCTCAGAAGTAATCCCAATGTAAGAGCATGAGAGGAATTCGAGGGACAAAGCTGTACGGTGGAGCATCAAACTCACATGGGAGGCGAGCGGCAGAGAGTCAGGTGCATGGGTGCAGCAACAGCACACTCGGCCACTAGCGCCACCCCCATGGGAAGGAGGCGAGGGGCAGGTGGTGCAAATAAGATGGACTCACATGGGAAGCGAGTGGCAAAGAGTCGGGTGCATCGCTGCAGCACACAGCATACTCAGCAACTAGCGCCACGGCCATGAGCTGGCGTGCCATGATTGGCTGCTGCAGCAGCTCCCGTGCGAGTGCTGGGAGAAGGGAGCGCGTGGCTGGGGAGGCTGCAACCAAGGGAGGTACACATGCGAGAGAAAAGCCCTGCAATGGGGGACAGAGGGAGCATGATGTATATTGACTTGATTTTAAATGCACTTGAGGCTGCAACCAGGGAAGGTACACATGCGAGCGAGAAGCCCTGCAACGGGGGAGGTACAGGGGGAGCCAGATGTTTATTCACATTCAGGCGACTCACAATGAAACTCAGGCTGCAACCAGGGGAGGCACACATGCGAGTGAGAAGCCCTGCAACGGGGGAGGAACAGAGGGGAGCAAGATGCAGACTGAGTCGACTCGAAATACAGCTGAGGTTGCAACCGGGGGAGGTACACATGTGAGCGAAAATCCCTGCAGAAGGGGACAGAAGGAGCATTACCTGAGAAGCATACCTGGGGAAAGGTGAGGCGGATGACCTCACACACCCACACACATCACTGCCCTGCTGCCCTTGAGAATTCTCAAACGCGACTCAGCTTGGTACCTGGAAGGTGAGGAGGCGGAGCAGCAGTGGGTGTTGTGCAATTAGGCGGTCAAGGAAGGCGAAGAGCATGGCCTGGCATGCTCGCACGTCGCTGCCCTGCTGCCCCGCCTTCCACCGCTGCTTCTGCAGCTCATGCCTCTGTTGCTCACACTTCTTCCTCCATAGCCCCCATTCTTTCTCCTCCTCCCCCTCCTTCCCTTCCTCCTGCTCCCCATCCTCCTCACGCTCCAAATTCCCCTCCTCTTCCACTCCCTCATCCTCCTCTTCCTCTCCCTCCACCTCCTCCAACCGCTCAGCAATCTCTTCCACCCTCTCCCCCTCCTCTTCGCCCTCCTCCTGCAACTCACCACACACCTCCAATACCATCTGAGCCACCACCCCCACCATCGCCACCACCCCATTCTCCACCTCCTCTCCACTCATCCGCTTCCCCAGCCTCGCCACAACCCCTGTGCTCAACCCCAAGCTCACACCCAAGCCGGAACCCATACCCACACCAGGACCAGTCTGATTGAACCCTTTCCCTTCTTCTTCTGACCCTGCTTTTGCCCCCACTTTCCCTGCACCTCCCCCTCCTCTCTCCCCTTTCTCCGCTGCTCCCTCTCCCCCTCTACCCGCACCAGCAGTACCAGCAGTACCAGCAGTACCAGCAGCGGCGCTGCTCCCACCGTTCCCACCCTTCTCTCCGTAACCATTTGTACCTCCCCCACTGTTTTCCCCACCTGCTCCCTCTGCCAGCTCAGCAACGCACGCCCTGCGGAAATCGTCCAGCTGGCGCGTCAGGATTGGCAGGAGGAGGCCGGAGAGGAGGGGAGGGGAGCGGAAGAGGAGCGGGTGGGAGGAGAGCAGGCGGAGGGGGAGAGTGAGGGCGTCTAGAGGGTGTGGGGGACAGACAGGGAGGGGAGGAAGCGGTGGGGAGGGGGAACGTACTGGAAGAGAGAAGGGAGGAGGGGAGAGGGAAGGTGGAGGTGGTGGGGATTGACTGGAAAGTGGGAGTGGGGGCGAGGGCGAGAGGGAGAAGGGGGATGGAGAGGGGGGAGGAGGGAAGTTCTGAGCTTGAATAGCTTCGACAACAGCTGGCATGAGAGCAAGATATCCCAGAGGAGGGACTCGGCTCCACCAATGGGAGAATGACACCTGGATAGCTCTCAGGTCCAGGATTGAGTGGGCTTGCAGCGAGTGTGACTGCAAGAGAGAAGGAAGCAGGCTGTTGATAATGACAAGCTCTGCCGCCCAATCCCCGATGGCAAACCCTGCGTCAGTCAGGGAGGCGGTGGAAAACTTTTCCCTGCCCGTGTGCCTGCCCCTTTGCTTGCCCGTGATGCCTTTAGCAGCAGGTTGGAAAGCAGAGAGGGAGAGCGAGAGGGATAGAGAGAGCGGGAATTGCCAGGAATCGAGAAGAGAGTAGAGAAGAATGCAAAACTCTTCATGCTGCTGCTGTTGCTGCTGCTGCTGCTGCTGCTGCAGATGATGGCGGTGAATTACATGGTCAGAATGTGAGGCATGGAGGCCATATGCGAGGGTCCACTCAAGCGCTGGCAACACATTGTCAGAGCGAATGGTCTCACACACAGAGCTTGAAGTTAAGGCGATGGGAGTGCTGGGGATGTTGGGAATGCTGGGGGATAGGAGAGTTTGCAGGAGAGAGCAGAGGATGCCTAGAGCGTACTGATGTGACGTGCTGCCTTCTGCTGCTGTTTCGTTTGCTGGAATTGCATTCACGCGTGCTGAGGTGGATAATGTGGGCGATGATGAGGCATTGGAATGTGCTGACGTGGCAGGGAGGGAGGGAGGGAGGAGGAGGTTGAGGTAGGGGAAGGCGACGAGGGCTCTGGGGCGGGCGAGTGTGTGGAGAGGAGGGGGAGGAGGAGGGTTCGTGAGGGAGGATGAATTGAAGGTGTCGAGATTTGTTGGTAGGGGCAGTCGTGGTGGCTGCCCGGAAAAGTCGGGCAGCAGAGAAAACGCCAGAGACTGCCACTACAAGCAAAAGGGAGAATTCACAGGAGACACAGGTTGGGAAAAAAAAAAGAGAGGGGTTTGCTGGGACGAAAGCGGAACAGCAAGATGGGAGAGAGGAAGAGGGAGGAGGGTGAAAGGGAAAGAAAGGCAGAGGAACTTTAAAGAGGGGGAAATTAAGGCGAAGGAAAGGTCTAGAAAGGGAGGCAAATACAGCAGAGTGGAGTTTGCGAGGAAGGAGAAGGATCTTTAGCAAGTGGAGTGACACACAGTGGGCCTTAGAGAGTGAAGGAGTCACTCCACTGCCAAAGATCTTTGGCACTCCACCTGTCACTCCACCTGTCACTCCACCTGTCATTTCACCTGTCACTCCACCTGTCATTTCACCTGTCACTCCATCCACCTGTCATTTCACCTGTCACTCCACCTGTCATTTCACCTGTCACTCCACCTGTCATTTCACCTGTCACTCCACCCGTCACTCCACCCGTCACTCCACCTGAGAAGGATCTTGAGCAAGTGGAGTGACACACTGTGGGCACTAGAGAGTGAAGGAGCGAAGTGACACCCTCTCTAATAGCTGCAATACTCACAGTAGGCATGAGAGGGGCTAAGTCGAAGAACCTTGTCTCGAAGACACCAAGAAGGCTGTGCCAGGGCAGGGCGCGCAGCAGCAGCTGCCACCACTGCTGCAGCGGCAGGACCTGCACCACCTCTGCACGGCATGCCTGCATCGCTCCTCTGCTCCCTCCCTCTCCCTTGTCCCTTTCACTCCCTCTCCCGCCACTCCCACCACTACCCGTCTCTTGCTCCTCCTCTCCTTTGTCTTCCGCCTCTCCCTCCTCTTCTTCTTCCCTCTCTCCCTCTTGCTCCTCCTCTTCTCCCTGTGCTCCCTCGTCTGCCTCCTCCTGTTCCTCCCACTCCTCTCCCACTTCTGGCAGGACAAATTCAGCTCCAGCAAATCCTTTCTTGCCCTGCGCGCCCTGCCCCCCTCTCCTCTCCCCCGCTTCCTGCCCCCCTCTCTTTTCCCCACTCCCCTGCGCCCCTCGCTTCCTCTGCATCTCTTGCTCCCACAGCAGCACATACAGCGACCCCAGCGCCCCCCGTGCCAACACCCTCTCCTCCTCACCCCAGCACATCTCCTCCAACCGCATAAAACCACTCTTGTCTCCATTTCCACCCATCAACCCACCTCTTGACCCTGATTCGGGTTCCAAGGATGCAAGTTGGTGCAGAAGTTGTGTGGGGAGAAGGGGGGAGAGCAGAACAGTGGGTGGTACGCCTGAGGTTGTGAGGAGGCAGGCGGGCCAAATAAGGCGAAGGAGGGCAGAGCGAGAGAGGGGTTGGATGGCAGGGGTGGGAGGGGTTGTGGTGGTGGAGTGAGAGAGAGTAGGGGTGGTGTTTGAAATTGCGGGGGAGGAGGTGGGGTGGAGAGGGGAGCGGGAGGGGTGCGAGGGGGACGGGTGGGCGGAGGAGGGATGGGATGGGGATATGCGGGACGGGGAGGGGTGGGAGCGGGGGACGTGAGAGGGGGACGCGCGAGACGGGGAGGGGTGTGAGGAGGGGAGAGAGTAATGCGGGTGTGCCGGGGGGTGGCTGGAGGGTGGATGGGAGACTGGCGTGCGGAAGGGGTTGGGTGGAGGAGGGGGGAGGGATGCGGAAGCAAGGGCAGAGATGAAGGAGGAAAGGAGGGAGGGGAATACAGGGTGGACGGGGAGGGAAGCAGCGTAGAGGCAGCGGAAGACAGCTGGGGTGGGGTTGATGTGGTGGAGGGCGAAGAGGTCGGCTTCTAGCAGTAGATGCACGCACTCTGCTGCCCGCACTGCTGCTGTCTGCACTGCTGCTGCCCGCACTGCGGCTGTCTGTGCTGCTGCCGATGCTCGCACTGTTCCTGCTGGTTTGCCCCCTTCCCCTGGATCGCTGCAATCTCGGACCGTTCTGTGGGCTTGGCTCGGCAAGAGCTGCTCTTGGCACGGCAAACCAGACAGCGGGTGCAGCGATGCCAGCATTGTCACTCCTCTGACCACCGCTGCTGTAGAGAATAACGCAGGAGCAGCGGTGGCGGTGGCAGCATTGTCACTGCCAGCAGGAGCACCAGCATGATCCCGAGCGGCTGTGGCAGGCGGTGCAACAGCAGCGGCAGCAGCAGTGCTGTTTGCATTCCCGTTGGCACTTGCTCCCCCTACTGCAGTGTCGGCGAGATAACTGAGGGAGGCGGTAGTCACCAACACAGGGAAGCCCAGGGTCTGGCGAATGAGCTGAGGAGGGGTATAGGCATGATACGGAAGGAGGAGGGGGAAGGTAGGGGGAGAGTGAAGGTATGATTTCAGGTGAGAGAGGCGGTAGTCACTAACACAGGGAAGCCCAGGGTCTGACGAATGAGCTGAGGATGGGGTAGAGACATGAAAGGGAGGAGTGGGGGGAAAGGGGAGGGAGGAGTGAAGAAGACATGGTCTGAGGGGAATGAAATGGCGCGCTGACATGCAGGCTTGATCGCGAGGGCGCACACCTGTTCGGTTCGCCTCGAACGTGTTCCAGGCGAACCAAACACTTTTAATTTTCTACTGTTTCGTTGCCTTCGTTTCCTGAAGGATGCCCAAAAAACGGAAACAAACAGGTTCGTGATGTCATGATAGTAGCACTCTCATCATAAACGTGTATCACTTACACGCACCTCTACCAGAGATTCATGCCTCTTGAGCATCAGCTGCACCAGCACCCACACCACCAGCACATGCGCATGGCACACTCACACTCACATGCACATTCACGCACAGGCACGCACGGGTGCACACACACACAAACACACGCACGCACCTCAACCAGAGCCTTGCTTCTCTTGAGCATCAGCTGCACCAGCACCCACACCACCAGCACCTCGTTTCCTCCTCTTCCCCATCCATCTGCCCCACCACTCCCATCATCAGCTTTGTTTCGCAATTGCTTCGAGAAGGATGGTGCGGGATCGTGAGATGGGTTGATTGAGTGAGGCGGTGAGAGAATGGAGCGTGCTGCTTGCAGGTAGAGAGGGCGGAGGAAAGGTGAAGAGGCGAGGGAGGGGGGGATGAGGGATAGGAGGGAGAGAGCAAGGAGCACGAGGTCTTCAGAGAGGGGGGAGGGTGTTACTCCTGCAGACCCTTTATTGCTGTGTTGATGCTGGTGCTGTTGCTGCTGGTGGTGATGCTGGTGGTGCTGGTGATGGCGCTGGTCGTGGTGATGCTGCTGCTGGTGTTGATCATGGTGCTGCCTGTGCTGGGATGTGCCGGTGGGGTTTCCTGCTGTGGCTTGCACGATTGCTGACAGCCAAAACGACACCTGCAGCAATGGCAACCGAATCGAAGATGAAGAAAACCTTGAAACACAATCAAAGCTTTAGAAGAACCTCGCGCAGGTAGAAATGAATTTCACATCACAGGTGAAAGCCCAGGGGTGAAAACCCTGGAGCAGTCCTGAATACGCCCCACACCCTCAGCTGGTGCAGTAGCGCTACAACCAACCACCCAACCACCAACTCCTGCCCTCCCTCTCATCGCACGAGGTGTAAACCACCTCATGCCAGTCGTTTGTCAGTACATTCATCATCCCATACCTCCCCCCCATCCCACCCCTCCCACCCACCCACCTCATTCGCTGCCAGGCTGTCACCCAGCGCATCTTCCAGCCTCACCACACCGCACCCGCACAACAGACAGAACACCCGCAGGCGCTGCGACAGTTCTGCCGACCATCTGCCAGCCGACTTTTGAAACGTCTCAACAGCCGCCCCGTCACCCTCCTTCAAACGCCCCTGTGCCTGCGAGCCCATTCTCCCTGCCACGCCACCACCACCCTTTTCCTGCTTCTCCTGTGTCCCTGTACCCTCCTCCTCCCCTTCACCTTTACCCTCCGCACCCTCCGCACCCTCCACACCCTGCCCACTCTTCCAGGCCCAGCCTCACGTCCAGGCCCAGCCTCACGTCCAGGCCCAGCCTCACGTCCAGGCCCAGCCTCACGTCCAGGCCCAGCCTCACGTCCAGGCCCAGCCTCACGTCCAGGCCCAGCCTCACGTCCAGGCCCAGCCTCACGTCCAGGCCCAGCCTCACGTGGAGGTGATGGTGGTTGAAGGTGATGGTGGTGGGAGGTGATGGTGGTGGGAGGTGATGGTGGTTGAAGGTGATGGTGGTTGAAGGTGATGGTGGTGGGAGGTGATGGTGGTTGAAGGTGATGGTGGTTGAAGGTGATGGTGGTTGAAGGTGATGGTGGTTGAAGGTGATGGTGGTTGAAGGTGATGGTGGTTGAAGGTGATGGTGGTTGAAGGTGATGGTGGTTGAAGGTGATGGTGGTTGAAGGTGATGGTGGTGGGAGGTGATGGTGGTTGAAGGTGATGGTGGTGGGAGGTGATGGTGGTTGAAGGTGATGGTGGTTGAGGTGATGGTGGTGGGAGGTGATGGTGGTTGAAGGTGATGGTGGTGGGAGGTGATGGTGGTGGGAGGTGATGGTGGTTGAAGGTGATGGTGGTTGAAGGTGATGGTGGTGGGAGGTGATGGTGGTTGAAGGTGATGGTGGTGAGGTGATGGTGGTTGAAGGTGATGGTGGTTGAAGGTGATGGTGGTTGAAGGTGATGGTGGTTGAAGGTGATGGTGGTTGAAGGTGATGGTGGTTGAAGGTGATGGTGGTTGAAGGTGATGGTGGTTGAAGGTGATGGTGGTTGAAGGTGATGGTGGTTGAAGGTGATGGTGGTTGAAGGTGATGGTGGTTGAAGGTGATGGTGGTTGAGGTGATGGTGGTTGAAGGTGATGGTGGTTGAAGGTGATGGTGGTTGAAGGTGATGGTGGTTGAAGGTGATGGTGGTTGAAGGTGATGGTGGTTGAAGGTGATGGTGGTTGAAGGTGATGGTGGTTGAAGGTGATGGTGGTTGAAGGTGATGGTGGTTGAAGGTGATGGTGGTTGAAGGTGATGGTGGTTGAAGGTGATGGTGGTTGAAGGTGATGGTGGTTGAAGGTGATGGTGGTTGAAGGTGATGGTGGTTGAAGGTGATGGTGGTTGAAGGTGATGGTGGTGGGAGGTGATGGTGGTTGAAGGTGATGGTGGTTGAAGGTGATGGTGGTTGAAGGTGATGGTGGTTGAAGGTGATGGTGGTTGAAGGTGATGGTGGTTGAAGGTGATGGTGGTTGAAGGTGATGGTGGTTGAAGGTGATGGTGGTTGAAGGTGATGGTGGTTGAAGGTGATGGTGGTTGAAGGTGATGGTGGTTGAAGGTGATGGTGGTTGAAGGTGATGGTGGTTGAAGGTGATGGTGGTTGAAGGTGATGGTGGTTGAAGGTGATGGTGGTTGAAGGTGATGGTGGTTGAAGGTGATGGTGGTTGAAGGTGATGGTGGTTGAAGGTGATGGTGGTTGAAGGTGATGGTGGTGGGAGGTGATGGTGGTTGAAGGTGATGGTGGTGGGAGGTGATGGTGGTTGAAGGTGATGGTGGTTGAAGGTGATGGTGGTTGAAGGTGATGGTGGTGGGAGGTGATGGTGGTTGAAGGTGATGGTGGTTGAAGGTGATGGTGGTTGAAGGTGATGGTGGTTGAAGGTGATGGTGGTTGAAGGTGATGGTGGTTGAAGGTGATGGTGGTGGGAGGTGATGGTGGTGGGAGGTGATGGTGGTTGAAGGTGATGGTGGTTGAAGGTGATGGTGGTGGGAGGTGATGGTGGTTGAAGGTGATGGTGGTTGAAGGTGATGGTGGTGGGAGGTGATGGTGGTTGAAGGTGATGGTGGTTGAAGGTGATGGTGGTGGGAGGTGATGGTGGTTGAAGGTGATGGTGGTGGGAGGTGATGGTGGTTGAAGGTGATGGTGGTTGAAGGTGATGGTGGTGGGAGGTGATGGTGGTTGAAGGTGATGGTGGTGGGAGGTGATGGTGGTTGAAGGTGATGGTGGTTGAAGGTGATGGTGGTGGGAGGTGATGGTGGTTGAAGGTGATGGTGGTTGAAGGTGATGGTGGTTGAAGGTGATGGTGGTTGAAGGTGATGGTGGTGGGAGGTGATGGTGGTTGAAGGTGATGGTGGTTGAAGGTGATGGTGGTTGAAGCTGCTGGTGGTTGAAGGTGATGGTGGTTGAAGGTGATTTGAAATAGGCAGGACATTCTTTGTTGAGGGGTTGTTGCCGTTGTCTTGTCTGTGTAATGCGTGTGGCTGACCTGGCGGCAGGAAGGAAGGGCATTTGAGCGCCAGTGCTGGCAGCAAGCACAGCAGCTCTGGGATGAACACGAGATCGTCACATATTCTCCTCTCCAGGTGTGTTCTGAGTCGAATCGAAACACACCTGGTGTGGGTTACGTATGGCTAACCTGGTGGCAGGAGGGAGGGGCACTTGAGCGCCAGTGCTGGCAGCAAGCACAGCAGCTCTGGGATGAACACGGGATCGTCAAATAACCTCCTCTCCTCCTCCTCCTCCTCCTCCTCCTCCTCCTCCTCCTCCTCCTCCTCCTCCTCCTCCTCCTCCTCCTCCTCCTCCTCCTCCTCCTCCTCATCCTCCTCCTCCTCCTCCTCCTCTCCCTCCTCCATCCCTCTGCACCGCTCTCTAACCACTCGCGAGGCAGCAGCACCCATCAATTCCTCCTCAAGACCTTCCAGACCCCACTCCCCCAACCCTCCTCTCCCCAACACACACCCCTCAGCTCTCTGCCTCCCCACTCCTCTCTTTCTCTTCCCTTCCCTGCCACGCCTCTTCAACCTCAGCTTCTCCCACCCCTCTTCCTTCTCCTCCACAGCTCCTCCTGTCCCTCCTTCTGCCACCGCTCGGCTTTCACGAATGTGGACCAGAAAACGCACAGTGCACTGGCGCAGGAAGAAGACAGCCAACGCCGCTCGTTGCACCTGGGGGATGTGAGGAACGTACTGAAGGAAGTTGGCAAAACTGTACACACAGTCACACATGAAGTGACACTGTGGAATGGCAACAAACAGTCACACTACTGACCACTATGGCTCACCTCGTCGCCCATTTCGAACATCTCCACAGCATCCAGCCGCACTGCCCTGTTTTTGAGTTGACTCAAAATAATTAAAGCAAACAAGAAGGCAGCGCCAATGCCGCCACGGCTCACCTCGTTGCCCATTTCGAACATCTCCGCAGCATCCAGCCGCGCTGCCCTTCCCCCTCGCTCTCCACCTCCCCTATGCCTTCCCCTACTATCCTCATTACCCCCCTCCGCCTTGACCTTTCCGTTTCTTGCCACCTTCCCTCTCTCCCCCTCCTCCCCCTCTTCCTCTCCCTCCTCTCCCTTCTCCGCCTTTACCACCCCGTTCGCCCCCATCCCTTCCTTATCCTCAGCTCCGCTCCGCTTCCGCCGCTTCCGCGCCCGTACCCCGCCACCCCGCCGTCCTCGCCGAACCGAGCGCAGCTTCCGCCACCTGCGCTGCATTCGCGCGAGCGTCTTAATTTCCGCGAAGACCGTGGCCGGCTCCAGGAGCGACACGTACTCCGCGAGTCGCGGCGCGAGCTGCGGGTTGAGAACCGTCCGCGACACGGGGATTTGATTGAAAGCCATGCGAGCTAGCAGACCGGCGTTAGGGTTACTGGATGAACGATGCGGTCAGATTTTAGGTTCAAGTGACCAGTATGAAAATTGAGTGAAAGTGGAACAGCGGCTGATCAGGGTCGGGATTCGCTACGCGTCGCGCATTGCACGATGGGGTCAGTAGTAACTGTCTAGGGGTTCTTCGAACGCTCGCAGTAGAAGCAGAATCTGTAATAATCGTTTATGAACAGTGTCGAGTCGACGATAAGTGAACGTGGAATGTGGGACATGGCGGAAGGTAAGCAGACTGTGATGCTGCAGTGGGGTGCTGCTTCTGGTCCTGGCTGGAGCATATACTCGTTACAAAATGCCTTGGAGGATCCACGGAATGATAATTCTAACAAATTATTGCACAGTCCGCAAATTCATTCTTCGCAGGTTGTTCCCGCATTCCATTACAGAGTTCGCCCGTTTCGCAAAACGAACTGGCTGTTTTTGGTCACTCTGTGACAGGATTCTTCTGACATCCCGAAGTCATTCTCTCACCATTTTCACTTCTATGCTTCCTCACACACATTATCAGTCGCTCACACATTAAAGCCCGAGTCCCAAATTGCGGGCCGCGCGGGTCAAGCTTTTAAAACTTGGCCACTCTGTGACAGCTTTGGCCACTCTGTGACAGGATTCTTCTGACATCCCGAAGTCATTCTCTCACCATTTTCACTTCTATGCTTCCTCACACACATTATCAGTCGCTCACACATTAAAGCCCGAGTCCCAAATTGCGGGCCGCGCGGGTCAAGCTTTTAAAACTTGACGAACTAGTGTTTTCAAGGTTTGAAGAAAAGCGTGCCTGCAATTTGGGACTTTTGGGAACTGAACCAACCCCCAGGGCGAAATACGAGGGCGGGCTGGGTTTGGCGAAAAAAAACGAAAAAAGCGAAATCGGAATCTTTCGCCAAAACCCTCACCACAAAAACCCCCTCGCGTCAACCTTTTAAAACTTGTGCAATTTGGGCTGCCGGCTTTAATCGCGTTCTGGGGCTTGACAGCCAAGACCAAGCCCCAGCGGTCAGTTCTGCTTGCTTCGGATATTCAAACGCTCAAACGTTACAGTGTCCGTGTCCACCTGCCAAACCGTCGAACTGTACTAACGCCATCAGCAATCCTCGAAAATAATGTCTCACCATTCACCACCCATTCATCGTGCTGAGATCGACACCCCTTCGGTCTCTCCACGCCCCCCTCGGGTGCTGCTCGTCGGAAATCTCTGTCATGACGTCATTTCGCTGAAATCTGGGAAAACGGTCGAGGCATTAGGCGGCTCGGTCGCGTACATCTCGCGCGTGCTCGACGTAGTCGGCGTGTCGTCGCGATCCGTCGCGAAAGTCGGCTCGGATTTCAAGTACTGGGACGCGCTGGGGGCGAATTGCCGGCCGGTATTGGTGGGTGGAAACGAGTCGGAGAGAGGGGGATCAAACTGTCCGGCAAGGTCAGCAGCAACAAAGACGACCGAGTTCTTTGCGGATTTCACAGGTGATGGGTCGCCATGGCTGAGTCCCCATCCCTAGTGATCCGTGCTGATTTTCCAGATGTTAGTTCAATCCGCGAGGAAGTACCGTACCTCATTCCATTTTCGTCACTCCATTCTCCTGTACTTTTCCCGTCGACTCCTTTCTGTCCTGATTCCTTGCTAACACCCCCTAACTGAACATACAGGCTCTGACCGCGTGCTGACAGCCGGCCACGTGTGCGAAGCCATAGAGCCAGCAGACCTCCCCAGCTTCTCATGCTCATGTCCTTGCCCGTGCGGATGCCAAGACGCACATCTATTGTCGAATCCTCATCCTGATCATTCCACTCCACCTGATGCTGCTGCCTCTTCCGCTGGGGAGGACTGTGACTATAAGAAATGTGACTCAAGACGACCAGTTGGTAACCAGAGTACAGGGAGCTGCTCTCACATGCCGATGTTTGATGTGGGAGTGGCTGCTGGTGTGGCTGGTGAGGTTCCACCAGCAACAGTGCAACACATTGCAGAAATTTCACGCCACACAGTGGCAGATCTACAGGTACTTTCTGTGATATTTCTGTTCACTTTCGTCTTTGCTCTCGAGAGTTCACACTTTCTTCGCTCAACTATTTCTCGCCCGTAACCCCTCCCCTTTCAGTCGATGGTGCGTGACATTGACCCGGTAACAGGGGCTGTTGAATTGTTGCATCTTGAGAAGACCTCTTTTATGGCTCTCCTTCCACGGCTATCGTATCTCAAGGTGCTGCTCTGTTCCGTGTGCTTGCCTCTTTTGCTCCATAGTACATTCATGCTAGCTTTAAGAGTATTGCAAGCTTATCGCATATTCTTATTGTAACACGTGCTGTAGTATTTCTGCGTATCCTTATGCGTCTTACTACCCATGCACACCATTTCTCTCCGTTTCATCATCTCCTGCATGTCTCCAGGTCGCCAGTCATGAAGCTGCCTTCCTGGATATCAAGAATTGTGTTCGGTTGCTTGGCACAGCCCAATCTAGGAGTGCAGTGGAGCAGCGCAATGGAAGTGGAGATGATCTGATTGGAGGAGCTGTGCTGCTGACTCAGGCTGAAAAAGGGTGTACAGTCATCACAAGGTAGGGACACAAAGTGCCACATTACGCGATGGTGGTAATGTGCCGTGTCATTGTCTATTTCTGGTTTTCTTTACCCAATTCATTGTTGTGTGAGTGATTCCGTTTCCTCCCTCGTGTTGCAGGGACAGAGAGTTCGTGGTCCCGTCATTTTCTGCAGTGGAAGTGGATTCCACAGGTGCAGGTGATTCATTCATGGCAGGCTTCATTACAGGCCTGTGCTTAAATCGAACATTAGAGCAGGCAGTGCAGATGGGCTCGTTCTTCGGGAGCATAGCTGTAGAGCAGGTTGGGGTGCCAATAATAACACCACCAATTGTTGCTAGATGGCAAGCAGCATTCAATGTAGACACACACCTGTCACTAGTTTAATTTACATCTTCATATGCTGTGCGAAAACACCAATTGAGTGTTCCAAGGATTTGTTCCTACCCACTAAATTCTCGTATTTGCTAGACCCAGAATCTCCCTCAGTTCTTGATACCCCCGCGCTTATGTGGAAGCCTCTCGTTATTTCGACATTCGAATCGGACGGTGCAGAGCCCTGGAAGCCTCTCGTAGCCTCTAGTGTGAAGTTTCGACGGCCAGCTGCTGCTTGCGGCGCCACGATCTGCTGGAAGCATCTAGAAAGTTTCGTGATGGACGGACAGGGGAGACTTTCCCAAGGCAGAGCACCGTTGACAAAGCTCTTGCCCCCTCACACACACCAGCAGACATCTCAAATCTACAAATAGCTAAGCATGCGTATGTTACTCCAGATCTCAGTTTCGAGCTGAGAATTTTGCTTACTCCTCAGCTCTCTTTTTCAATACCCTTCTCTCAGCGCACTCACAAACTCCTGCTTATAATTTAGACACAATGGCCGCCAAGGGAGAAGGTCCCGCTATCGGTATCGATCTCGGTACTACCTACAGCTGCGTCGGTGTGTGGCAGCACGATCGCGTGGAGATTATCGCCAACGACCAGGGTAACCGCACCACCCCCTCCTATGTCGCCTTCACCGACACGGAGCGTCTCATTGGCGATGCTGCGAAGAATCAAGTCGCCATGAACCCCATCAACACCGTCTTTGGTGAGTTTGCCCTACTTTTTTGTTGTCATAATTCTTTTATCTGCTTGCATGAGCTTACGCCTTTTTAATGACGTTAGGAAGCGAGCATTCAACTAACCATTTTCGTTTCCTAATTGCGCAGATGCCAAGCGTCTGATCGGACGTCGCTTCTCCGATGCTCCCGTCCAGAGCGACATCAAGCTGTGGCCGTTCAAGGTCACCGCAGGCCCTGGCGAGAAGCCCATGATCGAGGTCCAATACAAGGGCGAGACCAAGACCTTCGCCGCTGAGGAAATCTCCTCCATGGTGCTTACCAAGATGAAGGAGATCGCCGAGGCTTACCTCGGAACCACCATTAAGAACGCCGTCGTCAGTTCCTGCGTACTTCAACGACTCTCAACGACAAGCCACGAAGGATGCCGGCGTTATTGCCGGCCTGAACGTCCTCCGTATCATCAACGAGCCCACCGCTGCTGCTATCGCGTACGGTCTCGACAAGAAGGCGACCAGCTCGGGCGAGAAGAACGTTCTCATCTTCGATCTTGGCGGAGGTACCTTCGATGTGTCGCTTCTGACGATCGAGGAGGGTATCTTCGAGGTCAAGTCCACAGCTGGTGACACTCACTTGGGCGGTGAGGACTTCGACAACCGTCTGGTGAACCACTTCGTCCAGGAGTTCAAGAGGAAGTACAAGAAGGACATTACCAACAACCCCAGGGCTCTCCGTCGTCTTCGTACCGCATGCGAGCGTGCCAAGAGAACTCTCTCGTCCACGGCTCAGACGACCATTGAGATCGACTCGCTGTATGAGGGCATTGACTTCTACTCCACCATCACCCGTGCCAGATTCGAGGAGCTCAACATGGACATGTTCCGCAAGGTTAGTTGCTCCTTTCCTTCCCGTTTGTCATACATTTTTCAATTTGTTGCCCTTTCTAATTTTTATTGTGAAATTTCTGGTCGGTATTTTTTTGTTTGATCATCCACCTCCTGCTTGTTTTATGCATCTTTTCTAATCTACTCTGCTCTTGCTCTGTCGGCATTTGCAGTGCATGGAGCCCGTTGAGAAGTGCCTCAAGGACGCCAAGATGGACAAGGGTGCCATCCACGACGTGGTGCTCGTCGGCGGGTCCACGCGTATCCCCAAGGTGCAGCAACTCCTGCAGGACTTCTTCAACGGCAAGGAGCTCTGCAAGAGCATCAACCCCGACGAGGCCGTCGCTTACGGTGCGGCCGTGCAAGCAGCTATCCTCAGCGGCGAGGGCAACGAGAAGGTGCAGGACCTGCTGCTCCTCGATGTCACGCCCCTGTCCCTGGGTCTGGAGACTGCTGGCGGTGTCATGACCGTTATCATTCCCAGGAACACCACGATTCCCACGAAGAAGGAGCAGGTGTTCTCTACCTTCTCCGACAACCAGCCTGGTGTGCTAATCCAGGTGTTCGAGGGTGAGCGCGCCAAGACCCGGGATAACCATCTGCTCGGCAAATTCGAGCTGTCCGGCATCCCCCCTGCTCCTCGCGGTGTCCCCCAGATTACTGTCTGCTTCGACATTGACGCTAACGGTATCCTGAACGTCAGCGCTGAGGACAAGACCACCGGCCAGAAGAACAAGATTACGATTACCAACGACAAGGGTCGTCTCAGCAAGGACGAGATTGAGAAGATGGTTCAGGACGCGGAGAGGTACAAGGAGGACGACGAGCAGCACAAGAAAAAGGTCGAGGCAAAGAACTCCCTCGAGAACTACGCCTACAACATGCGCAACACCATCAAGGACGATAAGATCGCCAGCAAGCTTGACTCGGGTGACAGGAAGAAGATTGAGGATGCCGTGCAGTCGACCATTGACTGGCTCGACCAGAACCAGCTGGCTGAGGTGGACGAGTTCGAAGACAAGATGAAGGAGCTGGAGGGCATCTGCAATCCCATCATCGCCAGGATGTACCAGGGTGCGGGAGGTGCTCCTCCTGAGGCTGACATGGATGGTGGCGCCGGGTTTGGCGGTGGTGCTTCCGGAGGTGGTGGCTCTGCTGGGCCCAAGATTGAGGAGGTCGACTAATTTGATGAACCTAGTTGATAGTTTTGGTAAACCTTGTATTGCATTGAAATTTTTTAAGCAAGACTCAGTCGTTCATCACTCCTTGCGCAGCTGCACAGCAATAGGGTAATGAACTTTTTTATATTTTTGCTGATAGAGAAAACACTTTCCCTACCAACCATCTACGGTATGTAAAATACCTGACAGCATAGATGTTTTTATATGCTACAATTGTCATTTGTGGCAACAAGGCTTGCACTCAGTACATACATACAACACCACAACAGTGTCTTGGTACCCTAGTCAGTGAAATAGTGTGTCTGTCACAACCACCAACACACAAGAACATAAGAAAAATAGAACACATCCAGACCGATCCTCAGTACACACGTCGTCACTGGTTTTGTGTCTATGAATGATGTCCTTGGCAAGTCACAATATGTACATACTGTACACACTACCTCTCACTGATGGCCACCATCCTCTCAAGCCTACGATTGTCATTTTCCAAGAATGAAATTTGATCTTTAAGAGCAGACACCTGTGCTTCCACCGAAGAAATCCTCTGATCTTTCGCCTGCAGCTCTGACTGACAATTCATTCTGCAATTTTGTGGGGCAAGGGAAGACAAAGGAGCACACCGAGCAGATAAAAGACAAACAAACAAACAAACAAACAAAAGACAAACAAACAAAAAAAGACTGGCTGGGTGCACACTGAGCAGTAACAAGCAAACATGACAATAAATCAGCACAAATAATATGGTAAGAGGGAAACAGTAAGAAGGAACAAGAGGGAACACCGTACAGTAGGGTCATGGCTCGCTCGAATCGCAGCTGAAGCCGCAGCAGAGCTCGCAGCTCTTGTGAAGAAGATTCCCCTCTGGAAGCTGAGCTACCCGCAGCCCAACCCCACCGGAAACCACTCCATATGTCCTCCTGTGCCCCCACTCCCTTCCCCCTCGATCCATTTCTCCCACCATCACCCCTTTCACCCGACTCTTCCATTGTCAATTCCCCTCTGAAACTCCCATTTCTGCCATCCTGTCTTCCTGCACCCCATCCTGTTCCCCCCTCTCCCTGCCTCCACATCTCCCCGGTTCTGCGTCCATCCATCCCTAACCGGTCAACACCAGCCTGCATGTTATTGTCTCTGCACCTCCTCTCAAGCTCCTGCTCAGATTGACATCTCTCAATTCCGTCCTTCCCCCTTTCTCCTCCCCTCCCCCCTCCCCTTCTCTCTGCTTCTCCCCCAATCTTTCTACCCTCCACAGATCGCTCACCAGATCGTTCACCAGATCGTTCACCAGATCGTTCACCAGATCGTTCACCAGATCGTTCACCAGATCGTTCACCAGATCGTTCACCAGATCGTTCACCAGATCGTTCACCAGATCGCTCACCAGATCGTTCACCAGATCGCTCACCAGATCGTTCACCAGATCGCTCACCAGATCGCTCACCAGATCGCTCACCAGATCGTTCACCAGGCAACCCCAATCCACTGGAAGGCGCAGCAAGAGATTCTCCTCGTGACATGCCTGGGGATGGAGAGAGCTCGCTCCATGTGAGCATGGGGGGTGTGACTGTATGGGGAGGAGAGGATGGAAGGGATGAACACCCAGCAGGGTACTTTACTGGGGGAGATACAGCAGCTGCTGCAGATTCGCGTCCCGAATGCAGAGCAATGATAGAAGGAACGTTGGTGGCGCTGGCTGTAGTAAGGGCAGTTGACGGGGCTAGCACGGGAGATAGACAGGCTGATTCCACTGCTGCTGGTTCAGTTGCAACGTGGCCTGCCAACAATCTTTCAGCTGCTGCAGATGGAGACACGCAAGGCAATGCATCCACGAGCAACTTTTCAGACGCGGCATTTCGGGTGAAAGACGCGGCTTCTGCGCCTCCATCCCCATCAGCCTCTGAACTCACGCCCTCTGCTGCCGTAGGATCTACCTCACCAGAGGTGGATCCATTCCTTTCCTCTCCCCCTCTCCCCACTCCCTCTCTCTCCACACCCTCCTCGCCCTTCCATTGCGCACTCCTTCCCAAATCATCTAAAACAGCACCCCACCTACCTTCGTAGCCCCTTTCTCCTGTCCTTCCATCATCCTCACCATCCTCTTCCTCCTCCTCATCACATACCCCGTCTTCAAAGAATCCCACCACATCAGCGAATGCAGAGGCATGCCCCATCCCTCGGGACTCTGCCAGCACTGCCAGCAGCGACGGCTCGAAGTCAGAAGCATCGGAGGAGATCAGCTCAGCTCCTTCTGTTAACTGCTCCGTGCCAACGCTTCTTCCTACGGCATCGTCTTGTGTACACATTCGGCCTTCCAAGCAACGAGCTGGGGCTGTAGTGCTGTTCAGGTCAGCCCCTGCTGCTGCTGCTGTTGCTGGTGATGGTGGTGATGGTGCTGCTGCTGCTGCTGCTGCTGCTGCTACTGCTGCTCGTCCTGCTCTTGAGGATGAGGATGCCTGTATGCTAGATCCAATTTCTAAAGGGTGGTGCTCACATGCTGTAAGGCACACTGCCCCTTCAGGTGCCACTTCAGGTGATTGTTCAGGTGGTTCGCATGCAGCCTCTCCATGCCTCACCACACCATTCCTCCCAACCACTTCGCTTCTGCTGCTGCCATAGCCATTGCTCATGATACCGCTGCTGCTGGTGCTACATGTAGCAAGCCCTCCTGTAACCCCTGAACCACCACCTGCTGTTGCCATGTACCTCTCATCTGTAGCCCATGGGGCCTCTGCATGCCACGTCACACCACTCCTCTCATCCACATCGCTTCTGTTGCTGCCACGACCGACACTGTAGCTGGTGCTACAGGTGGCAAGCCCTCCTGTGGCCCCTGAACCACCTGCTGCTGCCATGTGCCTCCCATCTGTACCAACAGCCGCAGCTACCATAACCATGGGCGACCCCTCTGCAATCGTGGCTACATCAGCACCTGCCGTTGCATCAGCATGTGGAGAAGAAGATAGCCTGGCGAGCCGAGCTGCAATAGCAGCAACGGTGGGCGCTCTGTCTCTATACGTGGGAGTAGAGCCTGCTATAACGGGAGTGGTGCCTGCTGTGAACAAAGGGGTGGATGCTGCTAGCATGGGCGTGGCAAATGCCGAACAAGGTGTGGCAAAGCCCGGACCAGGCGTGGCAAACGCCGAACCAGGCGTGCCCCAGTCATTGTCCGAGCAGAGGGATAGGAACGAGTCAGATCGTGGCGAATCGAATGCACCGTCATCGTCGGAGAGCGAATCACAGCGCGCCAGGTCAGCTGCCCCTCTGACAGCACGAGCAGAACCAGCCACAACCCTTACAGCAGTGACAGATGCAGCAGTCATGGAACCTGCAGGTGAACCATCAGGTGCCATAACAAGGGAAGCAGAAGCAGCAGCATTACCTGCTACCTGTCCCTGCTCTGCTAGCTGGCCCCCCTCCATGACCCACTGCGCTACACGTGGATCGTGTGCCTTCTGTGAGTGCTGCCCTTGCTTCTGCTGCTGCTGCTGCTGCTGCTGCTGCTGCTGCTGCATTTGCCCCTGCTGCTGCTGCTGCTGCTGGTGCGGCTGGTGTGGTCTCGATTCAGTCATGCTCGCAGACGAAGCAGGGGGTTTGGTGGTGGTGGTGGGGTTGAGGATGGGGGCGGTAGCGGTGACGGTGAGGGGATGATGTAGAGGGCGGGTGGGTGACGGCGAACCTGGGGGCTGATGTCCCGAGGACGAGGGGGTAGAGCTTGTGCCGTTTAAGGATGGCGGATGGGATGGTAGACCAGATGGCGGATGGGATGGTAGACCAGATGGCGGATGGGATGGTGGGAGGGAAGGAGGATCAAAGTGAAGGTGGGATGGTGAGCGCGATGGTAGGTGGGGTGGAGGGTACGTTGGTCCAGCATGGCCTGGTTGAATCATGCGCGACTGTTGGAGAGACGAGGTGGTGGGAGAGGAGGCAAGGGGCGATGAGGAAGCACGGGAGGAGGCGGAGAGCCGCACGTTAGCATCAAAACATGCAGGCTGCACCGAGCCAGCACGCACACACAGGCACTCCACCTGGCAAGGCAGGGCGGGAAGCATCGGCGTTTGAAAACAGAATGTGAGTCCTCAAGGCAGGTAGAATGCTAGCGTTAGCCCCCCATGCGCAGGGGATTTACCGACTCCGCACTCACACACAGGCACTCCATCTGGCGAGGCAGGGCGGGGAGCAGAGGGGAGTGTGCGCACTGAGGGGGATCACAGGAGCATTTGACCTCAGGCATTCCACCAAGTAAGTGCACAAGTACTGGCACTTTACAGCTGGAGAGGAAGGGCGGGGGGAAGCAGAGTGGAGTGTCATTTCATGCAGGGCGTGTGTCAGCAGCAGCCAACTCCAAGTCAAGTTACCCCATACCAGCAGCACTGATACACAACCCTTTACCCGCCCTCCCTGCATTCTCTCCTGCCAGCAGGGACGATGCAGCAGCAGTCACAGGCAGCAGCTCCTTCCACCTCGTGAGATGTCTCAAAACCTTCAGGTCAAATCACACCCTGACCATATCAAGACACGGCCCTCTGCCCCGCCCGCCCACCATTCTCCCCCCGCCCCACAATCCCCTTGCCTCCTTACCTGCAGTGACGCGGCCGCACAAGTCACAGCCTTAGCATTTCCATCCACCTCTTGAGACGCCTCAACCCCCCAAATCAAGTCAACCTCTGTCTATAGTAAAATAAACCCCGTCTGACTACTTACCTGCAGTGACGCGGCAGCAGCAGTCACAGAGAGCAGCTCCAACCACCTGTCGGCTGCTTGTTTGCTCTCCGCTGCCAGGTGGTGCGATCCCATTGGCCCGCGGATGTCTGAGGGGAAGCGAAGGAAGGCGGATTCGGTTGAAGCACGTGAAACACTTGAACGAAGTAGACGGGGGGAAGGGCAGGGCTGCTGAGCCAGAGTCAAGCGGAAAACGAAGGAGGCTACGCAGCAGGAGGAGAAAAAACGTGACGGAAAGGGAGCAAGGCAGGCTGGGAAGGTGACTCACAGAAGCAGGACCAGGTGGGGTGGTTGGCCGGGGAGCTGCATGTTTGAGACAGGGGAGAAGGAAAGAGATAGTGGGAGAAGGACGAGGGAGGGAGGGCGGGGAATGAAGGGGAAGAGGGAGAGAGGAACTGCTTGTCAAGCAAACAGATTGCAAAAAGAATGTCAAAACATCGAGGTGATTATCGGATTAACCCGAGAGCTTAAGGGGAGGCAAGGCGACTGGCCACAGAAGGGGTTAGGAGAAGGCCGTTTCGCACCTCAGAACCCCTACACTCGCGTCCACCAATGGAATCGTGCCACGTAGTCGCGAATCTCCCTCCCTGATCTTATACAGCAGCCGCGGAGCGCCTCGATGCAAAATGAACCACCGGCGCCGCCATTGCCGCAGCTGATCGCTTAGCTTCCACAGCTCCCCCTCCAACGTCTGGCCTTCTAGAAGATGCGATTCCACTAGTCCGCGCGACTTGCGGAGGGACCAAGCGGCCATTGGAGAAACTGTACGAAAGTGATTCTAGGAAACTCGAGGTTATGAGCATCCGTAGTATGCGCACCCGAGGTTATGAGCATCCGTAGTATGCGCACCCAACACTATGAGCATCCGAAGGCATCAGCATCCGTTGAAGTGAGGGTTTTCCTACAGCGCCTCGAGTTCTGCAAGCTGAGATTCCGCTAAGAAACGTGGCTTGCGGAGGGAGCAAGCTGCCATTGGGACTATTCCAACTCCTGTCCTGAACGCTCGCGAAGTGCGGCTATGCGCAACACAGCCGGCTTGTTACAACAACTACACGGATTTCCGCGAGACAGTCTGGATGCTGGGTTCGAATGTCCGCAGTTGCTAAATTCTGAGATTTATTTGAGTTACCCCTTCAAACATATGTAACAAAGTATATTTACAAGATGGTCAGGGACCGAAGCGACGACACATGTACGGAAAATACGTCGGCAGGGGACGGATCGTCGTGGAATTCACGATTTCGTCGTATTCTGCTGACTGATGGTTCTGTCAAGGTCGATAACTGGTACTATTTCTGACAAAGCACACAAAGCGTTCTGACCAGACCCCCTTAGCAATCAGCGCTTGCTGTTATTTAGGTTGTGCATATCTTGTTTACTAAATGCCCCGAGAGGTTGAACACGTTTATGCGCGGTGCAGCGAGAAAAAGTACGATGCAGTGCTCTATAGGTCAAACGTAACGATAATAACCGTTCATTCTGTTTCGCGACGCTCGCAACATTTTTAGCGAACTGTTGTTGCTGTGGTTGGTGGTGCTGTTCTTCGCGAACCCTTTCCTCCAACCATTCCCAACAACATCCGTTCGCAATTCAAATTTCTGTCATCCCTCGTTGCCGTTGTTTCGACGGAAGCAAGGAGAAAGCAAGCAGTGGCGATTCAGCCGAGCGTCTGCTTGCTTTTCCTTTCTACCGAAGGCTTAGCTTGCGTAATTCTATTCCGAAAGGTTATGCAGCGTGGCTGTTGGTAGCTCTCCGCAAGCTTTCGTCTTCCGCTTACCGTACACCACGTCGTCAACGGTGATTTGGGATTATCTTTCTCTCTCTGCGCCAATTCCATCCCCACCGCGCGCGTCGCCTGCTTTCAGGCATCGGCGGTAACGGTCACCATGCTCGGGCCGGACGTGCCTCATCGGGTGAAGTCTGACGGCCACGACGATGGCGGCTTCTCCTTCTTCGTAAGGCCACGTGGACTGTTCTCGGGGGATCCTCGTGTGCCTTTTCTTCGTTTTCAAGAATCTCCTTACGATTTAAGGAGTATAACGGTTTGTGGAGCGTTAAGTCCTCTTAGAATTATAACGGTTTGACGAATTCACGCTGTTTTTCTGCGTCTTACTACCTTTTTCAGGGAGGAGCCAGCAACACCGCTGCCATCAACACCACCACCGCCGCGAGCAGCACCAAGGAGGCTGAACCTAATTCCGCCTCACTCCACCCATTCGCCGCCTTCTCCACCCCTAAACAACCTCCCGCCACGAAACCCAACAACGCGGCACCCAAGGGCACCGCATCCAACACCACTACAACCACCACAACTTCGCACCCTTTTCGACCTCCTGGAAAGAGCCAATTAACCTCTTCCACGTCATCTCTTCCCTCCCCTCCCATGGTAGCTGCTGCGTCTTTGCCTCTGGAAAGAAGCAGAGAGACAGATGCAGGCACCGCCAACACTGGGGGATCAGCAGGTGCTGCTGTAAACGGTGCTACCGCTGCAGCGGCGGCGACAGCAGGAGCAGCAGCAGCTGGTGCAAAGAGGCAGCCGCGGAAGAAGTTTATTCCGGAGCAGGGCATGAGTCAGATGAGCTGGCGCAAGGCCAGCGCTGCTGCTGCCAATGATATAGCTCGTACGTGTGTGACAGTGGGTACGAGTGGGTGAGGATGGGTGCTACCGTGCTAGTGGGTGGGGGTGGTGGTAAGTGGTTGATGGTGGGTGCAAAAAGGCAATTATGGGAGAGGTTCATTCCGGAGCAGGGCACGAGTCAAATGAGCTGGCGCAAGGCCAGCGCTGCTGCAGCTAATGATATAGCTCGTACGTGTGTGACGGTGGGTTTGAGTGGGTGAGGATGGGTGCGAGTTTGTGACGGTGGGTCGAGTGGGTGAGGTGAGGGGTGCGAGTGGGTGAGGGTTGGTGTAAGTGTGTGACGGTGGGTGCGAGAGGTGAGGGTGGGTGCGAGTGTGTGATGGGTCGAGTGGATGAGTGTGTGACGGTGGGTGCGAGGGTGTGAGGGTGAGGCTCTCTCTTACCACGTGTCTGCAGCTTAGCACCAATCGCATTTCCTCCCATTCTCCCTCTCAATCACTCCCTCCCATTCTCCCTCTCAATCACTCCCTCCCATTCGCCTTCTTGCTCTCTCCTGTCTCCCAGGGTACCGCATGCAGCACCAAGGGGCTATACGGATGTCAGAGGTGACGCTGCACAGCACAGGAGGGAGGAAGATGCCTGGATGGACCGTGGTGCGAGGCCGAGTGCTCTCTCATACCACATGTGTGCAGCTCAGCACTGCTCTCTTTCTTTCCCATCTCCCAGGGTACCGCATGCAGCACCAGGGGGCTAGACGCATGTCGGAGGTGAAGCGGCACAAGAGAGGGCGATGTTTGTAGCCCAGCACTGTTCGCTCACTTGCTCTCTCCCGTTCGCCTTCTTCCTCGAATGGTGCTTCCAGGGTACCGCATGCAGCACCAAGGCGCCATACGAATGTCGGAGGTGAAGCGGCACAAGAGGGAGGACGACGCCTGGACCGTGGTGCGGGGCAGAGTGTACAACATCACCCCCTATCTCGACTTTCACCCCGGAGGTGAGCTGCTGTTCTTGTGTTCTTGTTCACTCTCCTGCTGCTGCTGCTGCTGCTGCTGCTGCTGCTGCTGCTGCTGCTGCTGCTGCTGCTGCTGCTGCTGCTGCTGCTGCTGCTGCTGCTGCTGCTGTGGTGCGAGGCAGAGTGTACAACATCACGCCCTACCTTGACTTTTGTACTGGAGGTGAGTAGTGGCTGCCATCTCTCTTCCCCTCCCCCTCCCACCCAACCCCCGGTTCCCCTGTTTTTTTTTCCTGTACCTTAATTGACTATATTACAGCCTCTGTCTCCATGTGTGACTTTCCCCATCCTCTCCCCTCTCCCCCTTCGCTCATGGTGTGACTGCAGGGAAGGCGATTCTAATGAAGGGCGCTGGCAAGGACTGCACAGCGCTCTTCAGTACGCTCTTACTGCCTCACAAACCTTAGCCCTCTCCCCCCTCGTTCTCTCGTTTCCCCGCCACCTCCTTTGTCCTTCCCTGTTATTCCGCTTCTGGCTTTGCCCGTTTCCCAGCTCTCACGGCAAAGTTCCAGGTCTTCTCGTAGCCTTGTCTTTCCTCGCTTTCTGCCTATCTTATCAGGGTCTCTCAGTGTTATCGCTATCAGAGGGTGTTGGCTCTCCTAGCCCAGTAACAAAGGCCCCAGTAACATCACTACACACTAACTGCCTCCCCACATTACCCTCTCCCTCGCCCCCCTTTCAACCCCCCCAACCAGACAAGTACCATGCATGGGTGAATGCCGAGTTCCTATTGGACCAGTGCTTTCTGGGCATGCTCATTCCTGATGGCTGATACTGCAGACTGTACTGGTGACACAAGGAAGCTTGCATTGCATGCTCGGCTCAACGTGCTACCACTTGTTGACGCTGACCTCACCATTCATGGGCTGAGAGCCTGGGACGAGACGACTAAAGAATGACCACTACCAGCACTTTTAGAGTGTGCGCGTTACCGATGACTGCGACTGAGAGGGGGGCAACTGAAGCAAGCATGCTTGCTCCACTCATTGTACTGATTGCTCCTGAAGCTGACCCAACCATATGTGTGTGATAAGATGACGAAATGACTAAGGATGTACTGTACTTTCTATTGTGACTTGTTATGAGGTCGGCAGGTAGAACCATACCGGTACCATTTGCATCGTCTGGGACTTCATCCTTGCATGACTTGGAGCAACAACCGTGACAATTGAGTGCAACAGAGAGCACTGGTGCTCCAGCTGGCTTGTGAGTCAGAGAACATTGAACTGGAAGTGGAGGCACATACCAATGTTTTTGGATGGCCCAGGGAAAATGATTCACACCCTGGGGGTGCAATGTTTCCTCTCCCTAACCACGCGTTTGGTTTGAAATTCACCTGGGAGAGGGATCCAACAGTAACAGACTCTGCAACTGAAAATCTGTTAGTGATGGATGCAGAGGGGATTCTTAGTTGGTCAATAAACATGCACAGCCAGTCAGACATGATGGTGTGTGTGATGCCAAGACCCATCAAGGGGACACATATACGGCGTCACATAATGACATTTCTCCTGCTGCTTATGCGAGATAACATGGATGTAATGACACTACGGCACTACACTTGTAATGACTCTGCTGCACCATTCTTTTGTAAGGTAACTGGGCTAATGATTGGTTGGGAGGGTGGCTGGAAGGGTGTGATTGTTAAGGATGCGCTGAGAGGAGTCGCAAGTGGCAACAGTGGCCCCTGCAACAGGGCCAGACCCAGCTGCGGCAGCAGGCAGAGCGACGTGACTTTTGAGTCAACTCAAAAGTGATTGCTGGGGATGCACTGCGAGGAGTCGCAAGTGGCAACAGTGGCTTCTGCAACAGGGCCAGACCCAGCAGTGGCAGCAGGCACAGCAGGGGCAACAGGCACAGCAGGGGCAACAGGCAGAGCAGGAGCAGCAGCAGTACTGGCTACAGCGGTCACTGCAGAAGCAGCAGCTACAGCAGGAGCAGCAGCATTCCCAGTGACAGACAGTCCACTAGCTGTCTCTGCTGCAGCAGGCGAAACTCTGAGAGTTGACTCACACAAACCAAGGCCACCCACTGTACGTGCTGCAGGGGGTGTGAGTGGCGGGGGGGTTGATTGTGGGGCCACCGCCTGAGGAACTGTGACTGAAGGGAGCGGCTGGGAATGTGTGACTGAAGGGAGGGGTTGAATCTGTGTGGGTGAAGGGAGCAGCTGAGCTTGTGTGGGTGAAGGGATGGGCTGAGTCTGTGTGACTGTAGGGAGAGGTTGAGCCTGTGTGAATGCCGGCGGTGCAAAGCTAAGTGGTATTCCTGCCCCTGGCAGCACGGTTGATTGCAGAGGAAGGGACAGGGCAGCACCTGAGCCTTGCAGGTGTGCTGCAGTTGGCCTGATAGCCGGGGGGGCTGCACGCATTGTTGGGTGATCCTGAGAGCTTTGTGCGGCACTTTGAACTGTAGCCGCAGTGGAATGAGAAGCTGCAGGCGCTGCAGTTGCTGGGGGCCGCAGAGCAGAGGGGTGCACGTGGGGTGAGGCAGAGGGGTGCACGTGGGGTGAGGCGGGGACAGGGAGACTTTGAGGTCGGGTCCGGCTGCTGTTGCTGCTGCTGCTGCTGATGCTGCTGCTGCTGTTGGTTGGGAGTGGCGGTGGTGCTAAGGATGGCGCTGCGAGTGGTACTAGGGATGGTGATGGGAGAAATGGCAGCAGGAGCAGGTGAAGCAGAGACAGAGGGGTTTGGGGGTCTGAGCCACGGTGGGGGTGGTTGGGAGAGGCTCGGTTGCTGCTGCTGCGGCTGTTGCTGTTGGGTGTTGGGAGCGGTGGAGCCAGGTAAAGGTGCTTGGAGGAGGAGTGAGCGGAGATGAGGAGTTTGAGACGAGTGAGGCTGGTGTAAGGAGGCGGATGGGGAAAGAGAGGCGCAGAGAGTGGTGGTGGGAGAGAAAGAGGATGAGAGGGAAAGAGGAGGCGTAGATGCGAGGAGGGAGGAGGGCTGAGGGGGACGAGGGAAGGAGGCGAGGGAGATTCGGTGATGAGGGAGGGGAGACGGGAATGGAAGTTGTGGTGATGCTGAAGCAGCAGGGCAGGGCTTGACTGGGGTAGCTTTGACTGGAATAGCATTGACTGGGGTGGGATTGACTAGTACAGGGCTGAGTGTTGCAGGAGCATTGAGTGGAGGAGTGGGTGTGTTGGGCTGAGACGGCTGAAGTGCTGGGTTGAACCTGGAGGGCTGCTGATGAGACTGCAATGGAGAGAGTGCTGCTGCTGCTGCTGCTGCTGCTGCTGCTGCTGCTGCTGCTTGCTCCTGATTTGCATTGGCTGGGGTGGTAGCAGCAAGAGCAGGGTTGACTGGTGCAGGAGCATTGAGTAAAGCTGGGTTGAACGAGGAGGGCTGCGGAGGAGACTGCAATGGGATGAGCGCTGCTGGTGCTTGCTGCTGATGGCCATTGGCTGGGGTGGTAGCAGCAGCAGCAGGAGTGGCAGCAGCAGCAGCAGGAGTGGCAGCAGCAGCAGCAGGAGTGGCAGCAGCAGCAGCAGGAGTGGCAGCAGCAGCAGCAGGAGTGGCAGCAGCAGCAGCAGGAGTGGCAGCAGCAGCAGCAGGAGTGGCAGCAGCAGCAGCAGGAGTGGCAGCAGCAGCAGCAGGAGTGGCAGCAGCAGCAGCAGGAGTGGCAGCAGCAGCAGCAGGAGTGGCAGCAGCAGCAGCAGGAGTGGCAGCAGCAGCAGCAGGAGTGGCAGCAGCAACAGCAGGAGTGGCAGCAGCAACAGCCAGCCTCGCAGCAGGTGTAGCAGCCAAACCAGGGGTGGCACCAGCAGCAGCAGCAGCAGCAGTAGCAGTAGCAGCTGAGGAAGCAGAAGGAGGAGCAGCAGCAGTGGCAGGAGAAGGAGTAGCAGGAGGAGCAGGAGGAGGAGCAGGAGGAGGAGCAGGAGGAGGGGTAGCAGGAGGAGCGGGAGGAGCAGCAGGAGGAGCAGCGGCAGCAGCAGGAGGAGCAACAGCAGCAGCAGCAGGAAGAGGAGCAGTAGCGGCAAGAGGGGCACGAGCAGGGCGACGCAAACCAGCAGCAGCAGCAGCAGCAGCAGCAGCAGCAGCAGCAGCAGCAGCAGCGGCGGCGGCGGGTGCAGGGGCAGCAGCAGGTGAAGGGGCATCTATAGCAGCTAGGGCCAACATTTTCCGCTGCAATCGCACACTCACTCGCGTCCCTGCCACCACTGCTACCCCTCCTTCCCCACCTCCTCCTGCCCCCCCTGCCCCCCCTGCTTCACCGGGTTCCCCTGCTCTCCCTGTTGCCCCTGCCCCCCCTGTCGCCCCTGTCCCCCCTGCTTCAGCTGAGGGCGAGTGCGGGAGCCGCATGCTGTTAAGTGGTGGGGCGGCAGCAGCAAGCGGGGATGGTGCATTGGTGCCGGCTACCACTGGAGAGTTCCTCAAGGCAGAACTATTTCTGAGTGGGGTTACTGTTGTGGCTGGCGTTGAGGCTACCGTTGTGGCTGGCGTTGGGGCAGCAGCAGCAGCAGCAGCAGCAAGCAGGGTTGGTGGGGTGGTGCCTGCTGGACCCGGAGGTGCCCTTGGAATTGTGGCACTTCCAATGGGGGATGCTGTGCTGGTGGCAGGAACGCGGGTAGGCCTGGTGCCAGCACCAACAACGGGGGATGAGGTGGCAACAGCACCAACGGGGATTGGCGTGGTGGCAGTAACAGCAAGGGCGGTAGGAGTGGTGGCAGTAACAGCAAGGGCGGTAGGAGTGGTGGCAGTAACAGCAAGGGCGGTAGGAGTGGTGGCAGTAACAGCAAGGGCGGTAGGAGTGGTGGCAGTAACAGCAAGGGCGGTAGGAGTGGTGGCAGTAACAGCAAGGGCGGTAGGAGTGGTGGCAGTAACAGCAAGGGCGGTAGGAGTGGTGGCAGTAACAGCAAGGGCGGTAGGAGTGGTGGCAGTAACAGCAAGGGCGGTAGGAGTGGTGGCAGTAACAGCAAGGGCGGTAGGAGTGGTGGCAGTAACAGCAAGGGCGGTAGGAGTGGTGGCAGTAACAGCAAGGGCGGTAGGAGTGGTGGCAGTAACAGCAAGGGCGGTAGGAGTGGTGGCAGTAACAGCAAGCAGGTTGCTGAGTCGGGTGGTGGGGCGAGTGGCGAGGCGAGAGCGAGTGTGGGAGGGGCGGCAGGATACTGGAGGGATGGGTGCTGCAGCAGCAGCAGCAGTAGCAGCAGCAGCAGCAGCAGGAGCAGGAGCAGCAGCGACAGCAGGAACAGTAGCAGCAGGAGGAGCAGCGACAGAAGGAACAGCAGCAGGCATGAAAATGCCCCCGGCAGGAAGGAGAGGCGAAGGTGCCTTGCAAGTGAACAGCAGGCTCTCCTGCACTGGGTGCAGGGACGACTGAGGGGCGCAGGGAGGAAGAGAGAACAGCGGCGCAGCACCAAGAGCAGTGGAGGAAGGAGGAGGAGGAGTCGGACGGTGGGGAGATGGGGAGGTGTGGACAGCAGGAAGCAAGGAAGCTGGAAGGGCAGCAGGCGAGGAGAAGAAGGCTTGTGCTTGAGACAAGGTCTCTGCGATAGCTGGAGGGGGAAAGGGTGGGGGCAGCAGGCGGGTGAGAGAGGAGGGGAATGTAAGTAGGGCGTGGCGGTGGGAGCAATCATGCCTGCACAACGGGAAACACTTGTGGAGCAACACTTGAGGAGCAACACTTGTGGAGCAACACTTGTGGAGCAACACTTGTGGAGCAACACTTGTGGAGCAACACGCACAGAGAGTTATCTTGTCTCGGAATGTATCGAATGTTTCCCAACACGGTAGGGAGAGGGAAAAAGCAGTGGGCAGAAAAGGGAGACCTTACCCAGGG